CATTTTGGGAAAAGTACATCAGTTTCTAGGCCAAGAAGCCTCAATTGCAATGTATCCAACAAGAGTCAGTCGCAGGAGTTTTCTGGGAAATACTGTGGAAAAGGAACTCTCCTCCTTCTGGAGCCACGGAGCTGGTGGGACGGAAAGAAGTCTGCACAGTGGGAACCCATTATGCCAACAAAGGGGGAGTGCCTGCCTGAGAAAAAGGTCACAGTGGAGAGCAGAACTGATGGAGAGAGAGAAATAGGTTCCTGATGACACTGTTAGATCACCTGGATCGGCCCATGCCTGAAGCCATGATATTTTGGAGCTTTTAGTTACTAAAGCAAATACATTCCTTTCCCTTTGATCCAGTTTGACCTCAGTTTCATTCACTTGCTGCCCAAAACATCTCCACTTATGCAGTTACCCAAATGACAATAATGTGTATCTGGGTTCCTTGGCTGAGACAGCTATAATCAGCCCTGTCTGACTTAAGGAAAAAATAAAAAGAAAGATAGACATTCATTGGAAGCCTGTGAAGGAGCTGCTGAATTGACTGGTGCCTAGAGAACAGGCTGGAGAAGTACAGGAGCTACTCAAGGGCCAGACGTGGCCAAGGCGCCTTCCCTCGTTGGGTTACTTGTGTCAGACTTCAGTTTTTTCGGAGTGTAGGTGTCAGTGGGCAGCCCTAGGCCATGTATTGGTTCCCCGTGGCTGCCATAACAAATACCAGAAACTTGGTGGCTTAACACAACTGGAATTCATTCTGTCACAGTGCTGGAGGCCAGAAGTCTGAGATGAAAGTAGGGTCAGGCTGGCTCCCTCTGGATGCTCGAGGGGAGGATCCACTCTTTGCCCCTCTCCCAGCTTCTGGTGGCTCCTGCAACCCTGGCATTCCTTGCCTTGTAGCTGCTTCTCTCCAGCCTCTGCCTCCTTCATCAGGCAGTGTTCTCCTTTCTATCTGTGTCTGTTCGCCTGGCTTTCTGATAAGGACACCTGTCATGTTGGATTGGGGCCTTCACTACTCCATATGACTTCATCCTGTCTAAGTACATCTGCAAAGACCCTATTTCCAAATCAGGCCACATTCTGAGATTCTGGTGAGTGCGGCATTTTGGGATACACCCTTTCACCCAGTGCAGGCCACGCCCATCCCCTGGTTGGATGAGATGATGAGGGTTTTCAGCAAGGGGTTCCTTACACTTCCAGGGCACAAGGTACTGGATTTACCGGCTCATCAAGACAGGGTGGCCGTTCCCACCAAGGGTGCTCTGGTTGCTTTAGAAAGGGGATTGGACGTTGGACCCACCGCAGGCAACAGGGCCATCTGTACACGTCCTTTCTCTAGTGCATGCATTTCCAAAATATCCCTCTTGCCATGGCCAGAGCATCTGAGAACATCCTGGTGCATCCTTTGCCGTGTATGTCCCCAGTCGCTGGGGGACAGCGTCCTCTGGGTCCTCTGTGGATGTGGTGAGGGGGAGAGTGCCTGCCGTGGGAGATTCACCTGTTTTTTTCTGGTGTATTTGAGTTCTTCTCTCTACATTCTATGCGGTGGGCTTTCCGTCATCTGACTTCCCTGGCCTGGGTGAGTTTCAGATCTGTGCTAACCAGATTCTTAGGCCACATCCAACCCTGTGGGCCTGGCCGTGGGACGCAGGGGCTCTGTACACGCACACATATGACGCATTCCATTCAATCTTCAATAACGGACGCCCTCCCCTGTTAAGCGCTCCCAAAATGTCATTCCCACAGAAATCACCCAGATGTTGAACAACAGAGTATGAAATTCCTGCGTTCCTCTCCAGCCACCCTGGGTCAGGCTGGGATCTGATCCAAGGTAAGGATGACTGTGAGGGTGGGGCGGGGGGAATCTTGTTTCCTGTAATGCAGCTCCCTGGAGAGGGCAGCAGCTGTTCTAGGAAGGCTGGGACCGCCGCCTCAGATCAGGGAGGACGACGTCCTTCAGGCACAGGAAGCCCCTGGGTGGTTGGGGTCAGGATCTGTCCTGTGTCTTCCGGGAATTTCCGAATATCTCCTTTTCCGTGGATGGATGTGCAGCCTCTTACAAGGAATGCCTGGCTCCTGGTGAGTGCTCAGAAATGTTTGTGGAATGAATAACAGACCCATGAAGCTGTGAGTTCCATGGGCGTCTGATCTAGCAAACTGCAGAGGGGCACCGTGAGCTGCTTTACCCGAATCAATCAGCGTCCAGGCTACAAAAACAGGCAGAGGAGGTGGTTCCTGGGAGCCGTTCCTACCTAACCAACTCTGTCTTGCTTCGAACCTTTAAGCTGTCCTTGTTCATTCCTGGGCACAGGCCCAAGTAACTTTGAGAAGGAATTCAGTTCAGGGTTTGACTCTGAAGCAAAATTGATAAATGTGGTATGTGTTCTGATTACACACCCTGTATTAGCAAGGATCTTGCTAACAGGGGAGACCTGCTCTGAGCAGGCACCGGTGAGAACAGAACCCCCCACTTAGAATTGTACATCTGGGGATCGGAGGATTCTTCTATAAGCTAGCTTCTGATTCTGTACATTTCAAATCTTATTTCTTCTGTTACCCACTACTCCACATACTTCCTACCCTGGGGCGCTAGCAATTGCCTAACCACACATGGAGGTGATCGGAAACCACATAAATACACCTCACTAAGCCCAAACTGCACGGACCCCCAACTCCTCTTCCACTCAACCCCACCCCCCAAATACCTGTGCGCACACCAGTGCCATCTGACCTAAAGTGGAATGTGATGGAGGTACCAGAGTAGAAGGTCTCATGAATATATCATTTTATAAGTTTTATCGAAACATAACATCATCATGTGAACAATTCCTAGGGCTCCTCCCCTTGCAAATGAGGGGCCTTGTGGTAGCCACTGACTGCTAAGAAGCGAGATGGTCCGCCTACCAACCGTCGGCTTCAGACTGGGCCACCTTGTGGCTGCCCAGGTTGCAGAAGGATCGTGAAGCATGGGGTTTGTAGTCAGAAGATGTGGGTTGTCACGGTGGCTCAAGCCTGTAATCCCAGCACTTTGGGAGGCCGAGGCGGATGGATCACGAGGTCAGGAGATCGAGACCATCCTGGCGAACACGGTGAAACCCCGTCTCTACTGAAAATACAAAAATATTAGCTGGGCGTGGTGGCGGGCGCCTGTAGTCCCAACCACATGGGAGGCTGAGGCAGGAGAATGGCGTGAACCCGAGAGGCGGAGCTTGCAGTGAACCGACATTGCGCCACTGCACTCCAGCCTGGAGACAGAGCAAGACTCTGTCTCAAAAAAAAAAAAAAAAGATGTGGGTTGGATCCTGGAGAAAACATGGGCTGTAAAGCATCAGTGACTCTTACTGGCTAAATAAGCACTTGTTAAGTGTGTGTGGCATGCGAGGCCAGTGCTGGCACCAAGCGCTCTGCTAAATGCTGGAATGACTGATAAAGAACCGCCACTCTGCCTTGCATACCTCTCTGGGACATGCAGACCCGGGGGCCTGAGCTCTAGGTGGGAAAGCACATGGCCCAGGAAATGAAAGCACTCAGAGGTGACTTCTCCTGCGAGGGCTGCACAGCCCCCAGCCCAGGGTAGTGAACACCCAGGGAGACCCCAGGAAGGGGAGTCCTGTCCAGGTGTATAGTCTTCGAGTCCCCAGGACAGCATCGCCTGTAACGGCACAGAACCGTAGGCTGTGAGAGTTGATTCCAGGGTGTATTTTATAGCTTACTGATGAGCCGTCCTCTCCTGTCTCAGGATCTGACCTGTGCCCTGGCTGGTTCAAAGGTTCCATCTTTTGGGAGGAGACTGAGATTTGCTTCAGAAAGATGCCAAGAGAAAGAACAAGATCATTTTCACCTTCTGACCTGAAAAACAGGATGAGGCAGCCGGGTGCCAGGCTTGCAGGCCAGGCTGTGGTCTGGAGACAGGATCTTTCCACTCCCTGTCTTTCCTCCTCCCTCACCTCTTTAAGTCCGGGACTGACTCTGCAGGGACCTCCTGTCTTGCAGCCCCTCCCTGCAAGCCCTGAGCCTCGAGGCCGGATGCTGGGTGGTAGGAAAGGGCTGTGATGTATGGAAAGTACAGGGAACATCGGCCTTGTTCTGGACCCTGGGGACTGTGGGAAGGAAAAGGGGAGGGAGGAGAGTGGAGCTGGCTGATGTGTGTCCCAGATGTTCCCTCTTTGGGCCTTTGGGCAAAGTGAGGGGGCCCTGGGAGGGACGGTCAGTCAGGTACGAGACTCTGGCTCTGGGGGACAGTGCCTGGCAGGCTGTCCTCCACTGCCTGGGGCACTGTCCCATCAGCGTCTGCTGGAGTGACTGCCAGTGAACCCAGGCAGAGGCTCTTCCCTTCCCAGTGCAGCCTGGAGGAAAGCGAACAGGCCTGCCCTGGGTGCAAGGGGTGACAGGGTAAGGCAACTTAACAGCAAATGCCAGGGGTCAAGGGCTGGCCAGGGGTCAGAGGGACAGTGGGGCAGAGTCTCATGGCCCACAGCCAGCGAGATCTGGGTCAGCGATGGCAGCACTGTTTACTTGCAGACTGTAGGCACACCTGGGGAAAGGTGCATGGGGGTACTGCCTTGGTGGCCATTTGGTGCCACCCAAGGACCAGCATAGGGCCAAAGATCCCCCGGGTCACCCGCCCCTGCACAAAGATGCTGTCTTAGGTAGTGAAGGTGGTTGGGAGAAAACTTTCATATTCAAATGAGATGCCTGTTATCCACCCATAGATAACCAGCTTAAAGCAGGGGAGGGCTAAAAGCTAGTATTTTCCCCCAACCAGATGATCTGCTACAACCACATAAATTGCACCTTCCCGCAGGGTTGCATTGTGAGATTCAGGACACAGGTGGTGTGGGGAGCTTTGACATGCAGGGAAGTGACCCCCACATGCAGTTGCAAAGTCCTTGGGGCTCCCCCAAGAAGGCTGGCCAGGCACTTGGCAAGGATGAGGCGGGAGGCAGCTCACGGCTCGGGAATCTCCAGGACACAGGCTTGCACAGATGGGAAGCACCTGTGGGTGGCTCTCAAGCCCCCATCTCATTGGTGCCCGTGGTAGGCGTCTCCCCACCTTCTAGCTCGGGCTCCTCACGAAGCGCCCGTTGGAGCACAGTCCCCAGCGACCCCTGCAGCCTGCGACTTCTCCGGCTGCCCACCAGGAAGTAGATGAGGGGGTTAGCGCTGCTGCTCATGGACGAGGAGAGGCGTGACAAGTTGAAGTACAGGACCTTCGTGTCAGGCGGCAGGTTCAACCAGTACAGCACGAACCAGTAGAAGCCCAGGGGCAGGGAACAGATGAGGAACACCAGGACAGAGGCCAGGACCACCACGAACAGCCGAGTGGGCTGCCGCCGCCACTGCTGGGAGCTTCTCCGCACCCGGACAAAGAGGGTCAGGCTGGACAGAGTCATCACTGGGGTTAAGACCCCCATGATGAGGGCAGCCTGGACCATGTCCACCCGGAAGCACTGGTCTTTATTGAATTTCAGGAACTTGCTGCAGAAGCAAGAGGTCAACCCATTTGTCAGGAGACACAGCATCCAGAGCAGGGCGCACACCCAGGCTGACAGGTGCCTGGGCCGGTGACACTTGAACCAGATAGGGAAGAGGACGGAGAGACAGCGCTGGGTGCTGATGGCTGTCAGCAGGCTCAGGCCCACTGTGTAGGCAAAGTACTTCAGTCTCTTCATCAGCTCGTGGACCTTGTCAGTGGTACTGACCAGGGGCTGGGTTTCCAGGCTGAGCATGGCAGCCATGCTGAAGACAAAGAGGAGGTCAGCTGCCGCCAGGTTGAGGATATAGATGGAGAAGGGAGTCCTGCGCATTCGAAATCCCAGCAGCCAGATCACCATGCTGTTGCCTGCCATCCCGCACAGGCAGGTGAACATGGCCAGGGAGCTCAGCACCAGGCAGGCCGCGTGCACCACGCTCCCTCTGGAATGGTTTAGGGCCAACTCAGCGGTCCCACTGCTATTCAAAGTCTGGTTCATCCCTACAAGAGGAAGATGCACCAATGTGAAATTCTGTGTTGCTGGGACCATGGGGGAACCCCTGGGAGCCCCTCGAATTTCCAGCTTCAGAGCTCTACCCTCCAGATTCTTTATGCAACAGACCGTGGCCGGGAGGCGTAACCTTCCCTCCCTCCTGTGACTCACTCAGCCCAGACCTGCCTCCAGGGTCACCTTTATACCTACAAAGCTGTTATAGATGTCCGTTACCAGTTTAAAAAATTCTCCTCTATCTTGATTTGAATTATTTTTTAAATCATGGAGATGTATTGACTTTTATCAAATGCTTTTTCTACATCTATTATAGAAAAGTCATTATTATCAATAGACGTAGAAAAAATATTTGATAGAAGCATTTGATATCATTTTTTTCCTCCTGTAATTGTCAAACCCTCTGAGTTAACTAAAAAAAAAAATGACCTTGGGCTGGGTGTGGTGGTGCATGCCTGTAACCCCAGCACTTTGGGAGGCTTGCTTGAGGCCAGGAGTTTGAGATCAGCCTGGGCAACATAGCAAGATCCCATCTCTACAATTTTTTTTTTTAAATTAGCCGGGCATGGTGGCACACACCTGTGTCAGCTACCTGAAAGGCCAAGGTGTGAGGATCGCTTGAGCCGGGCACATTGAGGTTGTAGTGAGCCATGGTCCCACCACTGCACACCAGCCTGGAAGACAGAGCAAGACCCTGTCTCTTAAAAAACAAATTAGGCCTGGGGCAAAGAGTAGAATTAACTACACTCCTTAATTTAAGATGCACCATGAGCATCAGCCTGTTAAAAACCCTCCATTTATTCAAGTTTCCTTCCCCATCCCATCTTAGCTGCCTTTTTCCTCCCACCACTTGCATCCATTCCAACCTGTTTCACACAAGTCCTTGGATACCTCAATGTCTTTCAAGATGGAGTGGTTGCCCATTGTGTTTTAAATTTACATAAATGTTGTGATTTAGAATTAATGATGGGTTTTGTTTTTTTTTAATTTTTCACTTGACGATATGTTTGTAGGATATATCCAGGGGGCTGTATGCAAAAGTTGTGGTTTAAAATGTCATCATGCACACTGATCTGTTATCCATTCCTTACTGTGGATCCTCAGCTTGCTTCAAAATTCCCGTTATCACCAAAACACTGTGTTGAACATCCTCATGCATGTGCCCATTGGACTTGACTCAGGATTTTTCTGGGATACATTCTTGGAGGAGGATTGCTCGGTCATAGAACATATACACATTTAGTTTCACTAAATGTTGCCTGGTAATTCTTTTTCTGAATGGCTGCTTCAGGTTTCACCTGTACCAGCAGAATAGGAATGTTCACATTTTCCCATTCTCTCACCAACACTTGGTGTTATTTGTTTTTCTAACTTTTGCCAATCTGATGGTTGCAAAGTGATATACTATAGATGTTTTAACCTGCATTTCTCTGATTACAGTGAGTTTGAGCATCAATTCATATATCTGTTAGCCATTTGGAGTTCCCCTTCTTCAAATTGCCTGTTCACACCTGTTGTCCATTTTTCAATTGGGTTTCCTTTCTTTTCCTTCCTGATTTACAGGAGTTGCTTGTATTTCTAGATATTAATGCCTTGCTGGATTTAGACATCGCATATACTTTTCTCAGAGAACTCTCTGGTTTTTTTATGGCAACTCTATCTATTGTGAACTTTGGTTGGAAGACATCCTAAATTTTGGTACAGCTAACTCCTCAGAATTTTTTCCTCTGAAATTTTGTGCCTTCTAGATCTGAAAGTATTCTGTCTCTCTGGATAAAAAATATAGTCTTGTATATTTTCTTCTATTACTTTTATAGTTTTTCCCATTCAGATTTTGGTTCTTGGATCCAACTGGAATCTATTTTTTATGAGCTTGATTTTTCCTCCATATTATGGGTCAGCTTTCCTAACAGTATCTCCTAAACAGTCTATCCTTTCCCTATTGACTTACTAAGTTCCCATTTACACATGGGACTAGGTTGTTAATTTCATTCTTCATTCTGTGTCATTGGTTCATCTCTCCGTTCCAACAACATTAACATAGTGTTTTGTTTTTTTAAATCTGTCTTTGTGCTATGTCATTTTATTTTGTGAGACGTATCTCCCTCTTTAACTTTCTTTGCCAAAATTGAATTAGCCATTTGTGAATCTTTATTCTTCCTTAAAATTTTAGAGCAAATTTTTGGAATTCCTAAAAGAACAAGACCCTCAAGTTTTCAGTAGAAGTTCATAGAACTTGCAGATTATTGTGTTAGAGAACTGTCGCATTCACAATGTTAAGTCATTGTGTCCATAGCCTGAAATGCCTTTCTGCTCTCAAAGCCTTTAAAATAATTAATAACAGCATTGGATTTTTTTTTTTTTTTGAGGTAGAGTCTCACTCTTTTTGCCCACGCTGGAGTGCAGTGGCACAATCTCGGCTCACTGCAACCTCCACCTCCTGGTTTTAAGTGATTCTCCTGCTTCAGCTTCCTGAGTAGAGTAGCTGGGATTACAGGCACCTGCCACCATGCCTGGCTAAGTTTTGTATTTTTAGTGGAGATGGGGTTTTGCCATGTTGGCCAGGCTGGTCTCGAACTCCTGACTTCAGGTGATCTGGCCTGCCTCGGGCTCTCAAAGTGTGGAGATTACAGGTGTGAGCCACTGTATCTGGCCATAACATTGAAATTTTACTCACGAAAGTTCTGTACACTTTATTGTGTTAATTTTTAGATATCGTTGTAGTGGTTTTACCGGCATTGTAAATGGTATTTTATTACATCTAAAAAGTTTTACTTACTTTTTCTTTTTGAGACGGAGTCTCCCTCTGTCACCAGGCTGGAGTGCAGTGGTGTGATCTCAGCTTACTGCAACCTCCAAATCCGTGGTTCAAGCAATTCTCCTGCTTCAGCCTCCCAAGTAGCTGGGATTACAGGCACGTGCCACCATGCCCAGCTAATTTTTGTATTTTCAGTACAGACAGGGTTTTACCATGTTGGCTAGGCTGGTCTCAATCTCCTGACCTCGTGATGCTAGGTTGGTCTCAATCTCCTGACCTCATGATCCACCCGCCTCAGCCTCCCAAAGTGCTGGGATTACAGGCATGAGCCACTGCGCCCGGCCTACTTACATTTTTATTGGACAGCTGATGCGTGGAATTGGATTAATGATAATACTTCTTTTTTCATGACATCCTGTTAACATTGGTTGCCCTCTTTTATTTTTTAGTGTATGTATGTTTGTATGCATATTAATGTAGGTACCCACCATCCAACATGAAAACCGTGATGTTGACAGTAACTTAGTTAATTTTTCAAAGTTTGTTTAGGCTGCTGCATGGAGAATAGACTGATAAGGACAAGAGGAGAGGCTGGGAGGCAAGTAAGGAGTCTGATGCAGGTGCTAGTGGGAGCTGAACTGGGGTGGTGGCTGTGGAGTGTAGGTCATGAGAAACAACTCGGTTTGGAATACAATTTAAAAGTAGAGTCCATAAGCCTTGCTGATGAATCGGACATTGGGAGGATTCCATTAGTTTATGCATTCAATTATTAATTCGGTAGTTCATTCATTCAGTGCACCCCAGTGAGTTCTTACCGTTGTCCGGGCCCTTTCCGTGAATAAAGTAGGCACCTACAATGTATGAGGGTTCTGACTTCTCTACACCTTCACCAAGATTTTTTATTAACTGTCTTTTTTATTGTAGCCATCCTAGTCGGTGTGTGAATTAGTATCTCATTGTGATTTTGATTTGCATTTCCCTAATGACAAATGATGTTGAACATTTTTTCACGTGCTTATTGGTCATTTGTATATCTTTGAGGAAATATCTATTCAGATCCTTTCTACTTTAAAATTGGATTGTCTTTTTATTGTTGAACTGTTAAAGTTTTATTTACTTACTTATTTATTTTTAAGACAGAGTCTCACTCTCTTGCCCAGGCTGGAGTGCAATGGCACGATCTCGGCTCACTGCAACCTCCGCCTCCTAGATTCAAGTGATTCTTCCGCCTCAGCCTCCCGAGTATCTGGGATTACAGGCACCTGCCATCATGCCTGGCTAATTTTTGTACTTTTGTAGAGGCAGGGTTTCACTGTATTGGCCAGGCTGCTCTTGAACTCCTGACCTCAAGTGATCCACCTGCCTTGGCCTCCCAAAGTGCTGGGATTATAGGTGTCAGCCACCACGCCGAAAGTTTTTTAAAAATAAAAATTGTATATATTAGACTCTTATGAGATATGATTTACAAATATTTTCTCCCACTCTGTAGGTTGCTTTTCACTCTCCTGATGGTGTTCTTTGAGACACAAAAGTTTTTACTTTGATGAAGTCGAGTTTATCTATTTTTTTCTTTTGCTGCTTGTGTCTTTGGTGTCATATCTAAGAATCCACTGCCAAATCCAAGTTCATGGAGATTGGAGATTTACCTCTGTGTTCTTTTCTAAGGATTTTGTGGCTTTAGCTCTTATATTTAAGTCATTGATTCATTTTAAGTTAATTTTTGTAGATAATATATCACCTTCATTTTTGAAGGATATTTTCTCTAGATAAAGAAGTCTAGGTTGACCGTTTTTTAAATTTATCTTTTAAAACTTTAAAGATGTCATTATGTGGTCTCTTGTCTTGCATAACTTCTGAAAAGAGCTCTGTAATAATCCCCATTCTTTTCTCCCTCTTTATTTATTTATTTATTTATTTTGAGACGGGGTCTGGCTCTGTCACCCAGGCTGGAATGCAGTGGCCCAATTTCGACTCACTGCAATCTTCATCTCCTGGGCTCAAGCCATCCTCCCACCTCAGCCTTCCAAGTAGCTGGGACTACAGGTGCACACCACCATGCCCAGCTAATTTTTGTATTTTTTGTAGAGATGGGATTTCGCCATGTTACCGAGGCTGGTCTCAAACTCGTGAGCTCAAGCAATCCACCTACCTCAGCCTCCCAAAGTGCTGGGATTACAGGCATGAGCCACTGCACCTGGCCTGTCTGGCTGTTTTAAGGTCTTCTCTTAACGTTGG